CAGTTAGACGTGAATGCATAATCCCTATTCATAATATTTTTGGCCGATTTATTCCATTTAGATACAGAACCTCAAATTGGTAAGACTCTCACGAAAATTTAGCTGTAATTCCTCTAAATCGTAAATATAATATATAAATATTTTTTGACTAGTGTATCTTATTGAAAAGTCATATGATTCCTTCTTGATTATTCCCAGCACAATTTTTATTAAAAGTAGGCTAGTTATCAGGTTATCAAATTTTTTTTATCTTGGATCTAATATTTTGATTCTTCAGAGTGATCTATGAGTTTTCCCTCTCACCAAGGTCTTTCAGTAGTTAGAATTCCTTTACTATCCAATGCTTGTTTTGTTTGCTTGTTTCCAGAGGTATTCTATCAGTCAGTTGGATCTGCTCTTTTTATTGTTACGGACGATGTTACCAATTTAGGATTGTCCTAACTTTGTCTTCAGAGATTGATCCAATCATAATTTTTATATAGACTATCTACATAATCAACAAATTCCTTTCTGCTAATTAGTAGCTATATTCAAAAACATCAATTATATATGGTTAGGCCAATAAATAAGTGTTCATATCCCCTACAGAATTTGAATTTATATCTTATGATCTAATCTATGAAGTGATTATATATTATATTATAGTTTATATTGTTTATAATTTATAAATATAATCTCAATTCAAAAAAATTTATACATAAGTTTATCAATTTTTTTACTTTATTGCTAATAAATAGTTTTCAAATTTTAAATTAATGGTTAATGAACCTTTAATAAATAATTTAATAAATAGTTGTTAAATTTTTGATGAATTGTTAATGAATTTTTAAATGAATAGTTTTGATAAAAAGTTGACAAATAGTTAATGAATGTTTAACAAATAGTTGACAAATAGTTGATGAATTTTTGATGAATTTTTGACAAATAGTTTATAAATAGTTAATGAATATAGTTAACAAATAGTTGATAAATAGTTGACAAATTTTTGATGAATTTTTAATAAATAATTTTGATGAATAGTAATGAATAGTTGACAAATAGTTGACAAATAATTGAGGAATTTTTGACAAATTATTAATAAATTAATGCCAAATTTTTATTGAATTGATGAACTTTTAATGAATTTTTGCCAAATTGTTAATGAATTATTTGATGAATTATTAACAAATTTTTTGATAAATTGTTAATATGCCAATTTTTGTAACATTTATAGATGAATTATATAGTTATTAATTTATTTATGTCATTTTTTTTCCAAATTGGTTATTTTTTGTTGAATGTTATGAATTTTGTTCCTCAAAGAGAAACATAAATAACCTGTAAAATTTTATGTACTAAATATTTTAAAGATCCATTATTAATTACAGATAAATATGTATTATTTACTTTATACGTATCATAAGATTGGTTTAAAAATATCATTATAACTTCAATTATCAAGTTGATTTAAAACTAGAACAAATTAAAATGAATATTCGTTTTTAGACACGTTATATAAATTTATTTTTTATTTAGTCTAATTTTATATAAATCTGTTAAACGCGTTATAATTGGTTCCTGTCTTTTAATATATTCCCTCTCTTTTTTTTTTTTTTTATTATTATTTTATTTCTGACCTTCCAAAGCAGATGTGCCAAATGAGAAGAGTATCAGGATGTATGCCAATTATTTGTTCGCGTTTTTAGGGCTTAGCATGAAATAAATGCAATTAAGCTAAAAAGGAGATGATATCTTTACTCATTGTAAGAATGTGCAGTAATTAATTATGAACAAATTTTTGTAATATACAAATTTACTACATGAAAATCTGTACAGCATTAATGATAATGCTAATGTTATATAAAGCGGAAGTCAGATATAGGATCGAGATCAATCGATTAGACAAGTGATGGAAACCATTTTTCAAACTTACTAGCAGTTAGGCTCCAGGGATGCGGATGTGACGGGAAAAACTAATGCTATTATCCCACCAATTTACACAACCTTTGCATTATAGACGTGGCATTCCTTCGATAGCCTCCACCAAATAAATAATAGTGATTTAAATAGTGGTAAAGCTGATATAAATCTAAAATATAAATAATAAAAATTAATAATTCTCAATACTACAACTCAAAAAAGGTGAAGCAATATCGAAAACCTTGTCTGTGCTCAAATCCAGGTTCTTGGCGTGGATGGTGTGAGTGATATTCTTTGAAAAAGCTAATTTAAATTTTTATAAGTAATAAAAAATGAAATTATAATGTCTAGCAGTGAACTGATAATAATAATAAATAAAATAAATAAATAAATAAAAACGAAAATATACCTTGCCCTGGACTGCCAAACATTGTCAAAATTCCAAATTCCATCTCATTGTGTCCATAATAAGAGGAAGGGTCGAATACAACTGGACCATCATTTAAATCAATACCCCAATTCCCGCTCCAAAGATCTCCGTGAATTAGTACAGGCCTAACTTCAACATCTTTAAGCAGGTGATGTATAACTTTATTGATAACAGTTTCACCAAGTTTATGCAGTTCAGAATCATCCGGGTTGTTTTCCAAACATTTGTTTAACATTGGTTTTATCCTTCGCTCCCTAAAGAAAGTTTCCCAATCTTTTTCCCACTCATTATCCTGTTCCGTGGAGCCACACATCGTCGTCACAGGAAACCCAAACATGCCATTTGGGGACTCTGTCGAATGAAGTTTGGCAAGTTTTCTTGCAAAAGAAATTTGCATAGCGGGCGTGCGTGATCCGGAAAGTTGAAGGTATGTGGTCGCGAGAAACGCACCGCCATTTGGTAAGTTACCAACACACAAAGGTTCCGGTGCGAAGCCAGGAACGGCCGCTGAGATTGCGCAAAGTGATTCTTTTTCGCCTACAAATGCAAAACATCAGGGAATTCTACGTTTAAGGACAGACTTTTATAACAGAATTATTACCGACCTTCGAACATTACGATTGCATTTCGAGCATTGTGTGTCTAGGGTTTTTTTTTTAAAAAAAAATTGCATTGAGGCTTCCCTGAAGATGTAAACATAAGGGATGTGAATTAAATTACCTTGACGAATATATCGCCGGAATCTGTGGAGAGTTTAAAGGCATCGTTGACACAACCACCAGAAATAGAAGAAATGTCTGCTTTTGTGCAAATCCCCTGAGCGCGAAGAATATTCAAAATTGCCGACATTAAAGTCATATGATTATGCTCGCACAGTTTTATGCTGCGGATCTTGTGACTGATTTTGATTGATAAAAATTTCATTTTTTATATTGTATATAAAAAATTTTTTTTTCTTTCAATGAAATGTCTCTACAAAGTTGGCTTGGTGGAGTAAGACTAGCTAGAACACCAATTTCCCATGTAAAGGTGAATTTTAGCCCCGCGTTACGAAATAAAAATATAGAACATTCTTTAGGCCTTCGACAACGTGAGTTTCATTATTTTTACAAAAATTTTGGAAAAGTTCTAACAAACATTAACTTCCACATTTTTAAATTAACCAGTTCGTCGTTACACCTCAATTGATGTTTCAAAATATACGCGATTACGTGACCACAGCCACTTACTGCCCGCCCATAACCCGATATGCTCTATCAATGCACGCCGTTACTCGGTTGGAATAATAGAAAAATCAAGGTCCATTCAGCGGGAGGAGGGAATATCTGGATCCGAGACAGAACAAAATGAATCCGACATTGTGTCTAGAGACGAATATGTTCCCGCACGATTTGAAGAAATCAAGGAATTATCACTAAACACTCAAAAGGCTTTACGCCACGAATTCAAGTATACATCTATGTCAAAAGTTCAAGATGCCGTACTATCGCAGGCTCCGATTGAGGGAGATCTGTTTGTGAAGGCCAAGACAGGAACCGGTAAAACCTTGGCGTTTCTCATACCCGCGGTAGAAACAATGCTCCGTAATTCGCATCCAAACCATGACGGCAGGATGGTTTCGATTATGATACTCTCACCCACTCGCGAATTAGCGCAACAAATCGCTATTGAGGCTGAGAGGCTTACGCGTTTCCATCGATTTAAAGTTCATTGCTTGGTAGGCGGTGAAAGAAGAGATGCGCAGATAAGGAAACTGATGAAGTATCGGGTCGACATAGTTGTTGGCACCCCGGGACGAGTTGGGGATTTATTAGAATCCATATCTCACTTTCGAAGGCAGTGCGGAGAGATCAAAACTGTAAGTAACTTGTCATATTTTCATAAGTTGGATGAAAACATCTTATAATACACTTATACCAAACGTGATTCTTATTCGAATCAATTTTTAATCATCATGCTGGAATCGTTCTACAGTTGATTCTTGATGAAGCAGACCAATTATTAGACATGGGATTCCGTGAGGATATAGAAAGAATCATCGATTATTATCCAAAAGATCGTCAGACTTTTCTATTTTCCGCAACCGTTTCACCCGAGATTCGTCAAATTTCGAAATTTGCGCTCAAACCGGACTACACCTTTATTGACACCGTCGACCCGAATGATGTAAATACGAATCATCAAATCAAGCAATTGTACTCCATCACACCTTACGGTTATCAACTGCCTGTCATCAGAAAGATTATCAACGACCACAAGAAAAATCACAGAAACAGTAAAATAATGATGTTCCTGCCGACCAAAATGTCAACGATGCTTTACTCAGACTTAATACGGAATCTTGACGAGATGGAGGTTTTTGAACTTCATTCTGGAAAGAGTCAAGAAATGCGTACAAAAATATCAAGTAGATTCCGGAATTCTAAACGAGAATCCATTCTCGTTACTTCGGATGTTTCCGCACGTGGCGTGGACTACCCGGGAGTTACCATGGTGCTTCAAGTGGGTGCACCCTCTTCGCGCGAACAGTACATCCACCGCATAGGGCGAACCGGCCGTGCTGGAAAGGAAGGAGAAGGTGTATTACTTTTGGCGCCTTTTGAAAAAGGGTTCATGAATAGCATTGAAGACCTACCTTTACAGCCAGTTGAGGGTATTGATAATGACACGAGAGGGGAAGATGATCCGGAAATCAGGAGAGCCGTTGAAATGCTTGACGTCTCTGCGGTCAGAGATGCATGCATGGCTGCTCTTGGTTATTGTATGTATAATTTATATTACATTTATTATTATTATTATTATTATTTATTTATTTGATGCAATCAACCCATTAGATTCGGGAAAGCTCAACAATCATTTCATCCGAAAAGATGATCTAGTCGACTCGATCCACGATCTGGCTCAATCTTTTGGTTCAGAAGTGCGAATAAGTCCGTCGATGTTAGCCAGAATTGGTATAAAGGAACGAAGTGGTGGCCGAGGCGGAATGCGAGGAGGTTGGGGTGGACGTGGTTCCCATAGATATGAAGAACGTGAACCTGGCCGTTTTAGAGATAGACGATCTCCTGATCGATCCAATGACGATGATTCATGGTCCCCCAGGAGATTTAATGATTCAGAACGTTCAAACCGATTCAGAAATAGCGATTCGGGTTTTCCACATCGCGAACCCCGCGATCGTTACAGGTATTGAGCACATTGGTCAAAAATGAATATAAACGTGATGTAATTATTTCATAGATGTTTAAGGAAAAAAATTTTTTTTTTTTTTTTTTTTTTTTTTTTTTTTTTTTTTTGTTTATGTATTCAATAAAATCTATGTACGTATTTACATTGATCATTGCATTGGATTTCAATTTTTTTTTTTTTTTTTAAAAAAAAAATCCTGGACCGAAATAAATTACATTTCTTTTCGACATGTAGTGTACAGGGAATTCTTGTTTTAAAAAGTAGTCGCTGCCACTCTAAAAATTTAAATAATCACGTTAATCATGCAGCTATACCTCGTCGACTGATTACTTCATAATGCAGATCCGTCATACAATTGCACTCCGTCAAATCGATTACTTTTAAAGAAGCGCAACTGTTATCTAGGAAGTGTTCTAATGATTTCACGGTGAAAGTCCAACCTCCCTTGTTCCCATCTTTTATCGTTAAAGACTTCAATGTAACCGGGACAATCATTCCCATTTGAGTCAATGTCTCATTCGCATCGAAATCATCTCCGCTGAATGAGAATACCTTGAGCTTGGTACAACAACCAAAGATCAAAAATACTTCATGTACCCATAAGACAGGTAAGTGGAGAAATTGTATGTGTGAACAGTGCTTTGCAATCGACTCAATTATTTGTAATCCATCTTTAGGATCTGACCTTAACCACCAAAATGACATCTTTCGTAGGCTGCGCTTCGTATTCTGAAACAATGCTTCCCAGAATTCATTTTGTGGAAGTGGATAAAGCGGATTCCACTCGTTTCGAAATTCAAACTCTTCCAGTCGTGAAAACGATGTCAACGAAAATAACCGGTCATTTGGAGGGATGAAACAATTACGAATCTTGAGGGATTCTAAATTTTGACACAATGACAATGCTGATAAACTAATGCAATCGTCTTCATGAAAATCGGTGTCAATTAGCTCCAAAGATGTCAGGGAGTTAGATTGGTGCATCAATGCGTCTATAATGATCGATACAAAGCATTTGTATCCATGGAGGCAAAAACTTTGTAGGCGATTCTGATTTTTAACAAGGGTTGCCAGAGCGTCGGCTTCATAATGATATTTCCATTGAGCATTGGGAGTGAACCCAATACAAATTCTACGTAGATCTTTGCAAATACGCGATATCGCAATAAGGAGCTCCGACTTCAGATCGCCCAAACAGATGAGTTGACGGAGGTTCGTTAAGTAATTGCGAGAATTGGTACACGGAGGCAAGAATGGAAAGTCGCTTTGGATGGCTTTAGACTCCAGCAGAAGAATATGAAAGGTCCTACATCGTCTCATAAATAACTTGCATAGTTCCCTGGCTACAAGACCGGTTTTCCTCTCATTTTCCTCTTCGGTTTCGTCACAGAATTCGTTATTATCCTCACTGTCCGAAGAAACCACTCCATATTTGTTGGTTCGCATTTCTACTTCGGTTTTCATCTCTTCCTCATAATTCAGGACTCGGTAAAACCAGCAGGAATTTAACCATTGTGAAATTGACCAGCACATGGTGTCATAATCGAGAGCACGTAAGAACGAGGCATAATCAAAAGTATGGGGTGTTGATACGGTCTGATAACTTATGCCATTTTTGAATAGGGTAATCTTGGTTTCCTCGGAAAGACATGTAACGTAGGTCTGAATTAGCTTGGTTGCTGAAGTCTGAGAGATTGGAAGACTCCAGGGACAACTCCACAGAATATTGACCGCATTGCGACACCAAAAACGGTTCACCAGTAGGCAAGAATGAAGTACTTTACTGTCGCCCTCCAGGTGCGCAAGAATGTATTGCAAGCATTCTGGCGAAAGTGATAAAGTCATTATTATTATTTGTATGGCTTAAGAGGAAAGCTATACGTTAAAAAATTCGTACGCGGTTTCTTACTTGATTTCGATTGGTTGATTATTTATATGAATCAAATGAAATCAAAGATCTTATTTTATCCTCGTGCGTACATTTCAAGTTCCATATAACATGTCTCGGAAAGTGGCCTCGCAGTTGGATCCTTGGCTTTTCGCGAGCGTTCCTCACTCATTAATGATCGATTGTTGGTTGTTGGAATGTTTGCCGATTAATCTCTAAAGATTTCATTGAACACGATAATAATTTTAAATTAATTTAATTATTGATTGAATTAAGTAAATTATAAATTATTCTAGCATATAAACTTTACTCGTATATATCACATGATTGAAATAGTAAAAAAAAAAGTAGGCAAGGCAACCTGGTTGGAAGAACGCCAGATATGAAAAATAAAATAATTCATGTGTCTTTATTGAAACATTAAATAACTACAGTATCTACAATAATAAAACAAACCAGATAGTTTGTGGTAGACATAGATTTGAATACAATTATCCTCAACTTCCTCTCTCTGAGTGACTAAAATTTATATTAACACTAGTGATCTTTATACTAGTTTCCTGGATTTTTTAATGGGAAAGCAATAGTCACAAGATAGATTTTTATCCTATTGTTTTACTTTATTTGAGAAGTAGATTGGACGTAGAAGTTAAGAATTTTTTCTTATTTTATTGCGTCAATTAAATCAATAAAATATGGTTTTGCTACATTAAAAAATAAATAAATAAATAAATAAATAAATAGAAATTTATACTAATCCTCTAAAAGAAATAAAATATTATTCTATCTTGATTCTTTTAAAACTTTCACTTTCATGGTTTTCTAAGGAATTTTACCTATTTCAGTTTGATTCCAAATTTTAAATAACACAAATCCTCATTAAAGATGATTGGTTAATATGAAATATATTAATTTTTAAAATATAAACAAGTTTCTATTAATTATATTTATATGTTTTAATAATATTATTGGTGTGAAAAAAATGTTTCAAAAATGTTTGTTTTTAAAAGTCCAAATCTTTTAATAAAGACTTTCATGATATCTAAAGATTAAGTGATAAATAATATGGATTATAAACTCATATTTCTTACTTAAGTTCCTTAGGTAATAATAAAACTTTAATAGAAAAATTTGAGGTTTAAATACTTTTTTTAAGATATTTCAATTTGATACTCACTTAAATAAAAGATCAATTGAAATAACTTTTCTGATGCTACAGGTAATAAAAAAGATTTTTTTTAAGATTCAAGTGAAGCAAAAAACTATTATAATTAGGTAAATCTTTTTTGAAAAGATATTGTTTTTATTTTTGAACTTTTTTGATAGATCTTGAATTGTCCTCTTCCTCTAATTATTTTTTCTTTTCCCTTTTTTAACTTAATAATTTATTGATTTTTTGATCAATCAATAGTAAAAACTGTTGATAATGATTTTAGTAGATAAAGATCATTATTAATCTATTAATAGAATATAATAATGTTTTCAAAATCTGACTTAGAGAAGTTGATCACTTTATGAAAGTCTGTAAACTATTATGGATTTTATTTTAATTTTTCAATAAAGACAAGTCATCATGGCATAATTGTGGATTAAAAAAAAATAATAATAATTTATTACTATTGATTGATCAAAAAAATAATAAATTTCTAAGTTAGAAGAAAAAAAAAATAATAAAAAAAAAAGAAAATATTATAAAGCTATTGAAAAAGTTTAAAAATAAAGTTAAAATTTTTTAAAAAAGATTTGTCTAATTGAAATAGGCCTTTTACTTTACTTAAACCTTAAAAGAAATCTTTATTATTATTATTTATAGTATTAGATAAGTTAATTTAATTGATTTTTTATTTAAACAAGTATCAAATTAAAATATCTTAAAAAAAGTATTTAGACCTGGATTTTTATTTATTAATACTTTATTATTATCTAAAAAACTTAAAAAAGAAATAGAAGTTTACAATATATTTTATCTATTTCTTAATCTTTTAATATAATGAATATCTTTATTAAAAGGCTTGAACTTATGAGCACAAATATTTCTAAAACATTCTTTTTAATTATTAATAATATCATTAAAATATATAAGTATGATTAATAAAGGCTTGTTTATATTTCAAAAATTAATATATTTTATATTAGTTAATTACTTTTGATAAGAATTTATGCTATTTAATATTTAATATCAAATTGAAATAGACAAATTTTTTCAAAAGACTATAAAATAAATGCTCCAAAAGAATCAAGATAGTCAAAAAAAAAAAAAGAAAATAGATCTTTCTATTACAATAAGACCTATATAATTTTTTATTTCAAAAATTAAAAAGATCTTTAGATACTTTATAATTAATTCTTCTTTCTTTGAAAACTTTCTTGCTATTGATACTAAAGATGTTGTTTTATTTTTCTTGATTACTAAAAGTTAAGTTTTTAAATAAAACAGTTTATAAATAAGTAGAAGAGGTTAAAAATAATTCTTAAAGTTTTATTTCAAGTTGTTTTAATAAAAATCTTAAGATTTTATTAACAAAAAATAAAAAAATTTTCTTATAAATATCTTTTTTATATAATTAAAAAATTGACTTTAAAATATATAATATATAGTTGTTTCCAAAAGTTTGAGTCTATTTATTATATTTTTATTATAAATTTCAACTTTGATAAATTTTAAATTCTTAATTATATAATTAAAAATTATAAAATTTATATATATTATATCTTAATATGAGTTTTATTTATTATTTTTTTTTTCAAAAAAATTTTTATATAATTTTTAAAATTTTATTATTGTTAAAAAAAATTTTTTTTATCAAATTTTTACATTTGGAGAATTTTAATTAACTGTTATTATAAATCATATAATAATTA